AATAAGAGTTAAAAGAAAATAAAAATGATAAGGTCAATATTTATATACCGATAGGTCCTTGGTCCTTGGATGTTTCTTAGTCGAAAAGAGGACCTCTGCAAGACAACAAAAAATACATCAGGATTTTTACTGACTCCAGGATGTGCAAAAACAAAAATTTATAGAACTAAGGAGTCCTGTCATGTTATAATGCGTAATTCACACTAGTAAAGGTTCCCTCTTCAAAGATAAAATGGCATGTGTAACTAGCATTCTGATAGTAATTGTATGGAAAGAATAAGACAACTATATATTCTGTGTAACGCCTCTAAGTCAACTGTCATCAGGAAAACTATAATTGAAACGAAAAGAATATATTTCAACTCGCAGGTGTTGGCTTTCTTGTTTTGATGATGATTTACAAACAATTTACCACTAATGTTGTTTGTCTAGTGTTTGTGCATTCCTATGTTTTGTAAACAAACAACGTAGTTGGAGGATGGATGGATTAAGCCTACACGATCATATCAAGAGGAGGTTGGCGGATTTGTGGAGTGAAGCTACATACAATTCAAGTTAAAGATCAAGTTCAAGCTTCATCCGTAACGTGTACCAAGTTGAGCTACAATGAAGATCAAGATCAAGCTTGGGTAAATTAGTATAGGTTTATATTAAAATACTATTTTGTTTCATGTTTATATGCCTATATATGATTTCCCCTTTAACAAGCTTATATTTAATGAAATCGTATTTAGTGTTTTGAATATATTGCATAGAATATGCAATTTTGTGAAAATATTATATTCTTAGTTTGTAGACTTCAATATCAGTTTATACATGTTTTACTAAGTCTATAAAAACATTTCACAAAGTTTCAAAAGTTGGTTTATGTCAAAACATCAAAATTCAAGTATATCATATTTTCATGTTTTGGACTATTTTATAAAATGATGATATTTTTTATTTGGGAGGTCCTTTCTGATAACCAGTCACTGTAGCATGTTTATTATCATGTCTACAATCATTCCCCAAAGTTTTACATTTTTTAAAATTTGTTTGATATTTTTAAACAGTATTTTAAATTCAGAAAAACAGCTTTCAGAACCAGTTTTCTGTTATATCAGTTTTCGGTCGACCGCACCGGTCGACCGCTCGTTTGTTCTTTCGTCAGCATGGTCCAGAGAGTTGGTCGGTCGACCGATGCGGTCGACCGACCGCACCGGTCGACCGACGATGGTCCAGAACTGTTTCTTCGTGTTTTTGCTCTCCGTCGGTCGATCGATATTCCCGCCGGTCGACCGCCTATATGACCGTTGCTTTCCCAACGGCTATTTCCTGAACTGTTTGTTGGGGCTGTTTTTGTTTTTTGTTAAGGGTTTTGACTGAGATTTAGAGTGGGTATAAATACCCTATTACTGCTCTCTTTCAAGATATCCAAAAAGTTTTTAAACAAAGTGTTTAAACAAGGGTTTAGGGTTTTACTGTTTGTTTAAGTTTGGGTTTCTGTTTACAAAGGAGGAAGTTTTCACTGCAGATTGAGTGATTCATTCTCAATCCCCTTCATCCTCTTCTTTGTGTTCATAGAGAAGTTTTCTAACTCTTTTCTCTAGCAATTTCATTATTGATTTTCATATTCTTATTATTGCTAGTTTGCTATTTGAGTTAGATTTTATTTTACTCATTGTTACACACACCCACATTGAGCTTTTAGTATTTACATACATAATATAGTTGGGTGGTGAGAGATTGTAACTTTGAGTTGTGCTTAATTGAGTTCTCATCCATAGTTGAGAACAATCATTTGTTATATTGTGCTTATTGTGAGATTCACTTTGTAATACACTTGTACACCGAGTGAGGAGTGTGTGGTGAGAGTCGGGGATCGTCCCAAGAGGAGTGGCGTCGGTTGACGTGCCTAGGGAGAGGTTGTAACCGAGCACTTGAGGGAGACACGGCTAGGTCCAACACTTAGTGGGTGTAGAGTGGGATTACAATAGTGTGTTGATTGTAAAGTTTTCGGTTAGCTAGAAAACCGAGTGTGAGGTGTAAACGTTATTCGGGTGACGTAGAAAACCCGGTTGATAGTGGATTTCTCCCCGGGAGTGGGGAGCGGAGACGTAGGACGGAAGGTCCGAACTCCGTGATCATATTGCTTGTTTGAGTTTGTCTTTGGCGTATTTGTTTTTGCATTCATCTTATATCGCCAATTGTGCATTGCTCATTCATTTCATCCACTATCCTATTTAGATTATTTACCCTTGTGTAGTTTATATATCCTTACATATATATATTCATCATATAGGATATATCTCATTGTTCATATTGCTTATCCTAGCTCATATATATTGTTATATTTCATACTTGCTAGGATAACTTGTTAATTAATTTTTATTGGCATATAATCGGATTAGATTAGCATAAGACCCTAATCACCCCCCTCTAGGGTCTAACAGCAGGCATAAGGATCTCTTGCATTCAACAAATGTCACAAGACAATCATGCAAACTCCACAGTATATATCATTTGAAGGAACAGATAATGACTCATGTCAGCAAACAAATTAAAGCTTTGGCAATTTTTTTACACAAATAGCCTGCAGTTGCTTTTCTTAAAGCTTTATGCAAACAGGAGAATCTTTAACACACGCTCTGTCAAAACTTCATGAAATTTTCCATGCAAAATAGTAAGGTTGTCTTGACAGACAATGTCTAGATGCATCACTATTAATCCCTACATCTTATTTGATTGCTGAGTTAGAACCTCCATAATCCCCAATTTTATCAGCCCTCTATCTTACAGATCAAAACCAATCAGAGTTAGGAACAGGCTGGAAAATGATCTTTTTAAAATATTTAAAACCTTGGAAGTTCTGACCAAATCCATAATTCTAGGTAGTGAAGTTCAATATCATCAATTAAGTTGAGAAATGTTGATTAATACTAGCATAAAAATGTCCCATCAAATTTTAGTCTGCTTTTTTATCTCAATATTTCATAAAAACAAAGAATGCAAATCGTTTACTAGATGATAGATATAAAAGGGGTTTCATCCTTAATCTATCATGTGCTAGATGATAGATATAAAGGTGTGTCGTCCTTATGCTTCTAAGACTTTCCCACGGCACTATCCAAGATACTACCACAACTGCATCTGCAGCATCTGTACTGAAAACTCAAATTTGCTCAAAGAAACCTAGCGGTAACCAATTATAAATAAAAGAAAATACAAAAAGCATCATATATCTTTAGGTAGTTTCACAAACAGGTAACAAATTTTCTTTGCAAAGGTATAACAAATGACTTTCTAAAGCAAGATAAGATATTACCATTATGATTGGAGACAGTAATCGAAGGCCTGATCCAGTAAGGGCATCGGTGAAGTCGGAAACCCCTGAGCATACATCTGGTAAGGAAAACAACTTTATTTAGACGTTCAGCCTTGGATTTCACTATTACTGGCTTGTAGAACAAGTTAAAAATATTACAGCACTCCACAAATGCTCATAGAACATACCTACGACCAGGTTGATTTTCACCATTGAAGTATGTTAAGATGCGTTCAAAATACTTCACATATCTCTGGAAGAACCAAATTGAAGAGAAAGGGAAAATAAAAGCAAAATTCCAATAAAATATTCATAATTTATCATTGTAAAAGATAGACTCACAATCTGACTAGGAAGAACAAGCCCTTTTCCATCTACACATCTTTTCTGGTTGTAGTAATCCATCGATTCTTCAGCAGTTGGGAAGAACTGTAGAACAATACACAGCATAAAAGTCAAAACAACTTGGGTAAATTACTTGATTCAACCCTCTCCCTATTGCTCACCGCAAATTGATAAATTAATCAATAAAATCTAACCTTCAGATATAAAAGAAGACTAGATATCATCAATCCCGTCCTTGCCATGCCAGCTTTACAATGAACAACTACAACATTTTCAATATCTTCTTTCAACCATGAGTAAGCACTTTGACAGAATGATGTTATAAGTTGAATTGGAGGACAGTTGTGATCATCAAACGGGAAACAAGCCACCTGAGAATATAATACATGTTATATTGCAATCTACAAACTGATTCAGCAAACTTCATAAAACTACACTATTACTCATAACTAACAATACCAGCAGTTATTCAGATGCAAAAATATAAGCTGTTTCAACATACACTTCTAGCGATGGTCAGAACATTTTAACACTGAAATTAGGCCATATAGCATCATTTTCTTATAGGTAGTCTGGACGAATTTAAACTAAAATCTTTTATACGACCATTTTAGTTATTTTTTGTAATACTGACTAGTCACTGCTAATAATGCAGAATGAGATGGTCCGCAGGGGAAAGCAAAAAATTCAGTGGGGGAATAAAATAAACATGTTAAACCTCCTTGTTAGCTTCACTTCAGCACTCTAAAGAAATTGCCGTAGTGATCACACAGAATCCCAAAGATTAAAATTGATATACCTACTCTAAAGCTTGCATTTACAGAAGCATAGAACAAGAATAATGTCACAGGATGGGCAAAATACAGAGTACATAGTGAAACACTCGTGCCATTCAGTTATTTTATAACCAAGAATCTGTAATGTAATACCTAGAAGAATAATAGTAGTAGGCAGAAAGTAGCAATATCAATGTGACGCCAAGAATCTTGAGAACAAACAAGATCAGGCAGTTGTAACCACTTAGTGTGTTTCTTTTAGTAGGTTCATGTCACAAGGATGATGTTGTAATTGCAAATAAGTAGATTTTAGTAGCAGGTATGTGCTCATGTGTTTGAGCATAAAACTGAAGATACATCAGATGCCTTCTCTTTGTATTCTAAATTGACAAAAAACAAAAGATGGTTATTCCGAAGTCAGCATGATAAAAAGATTTCACAACTAAAAATTCATAGGAAATTTATAACATTTAATTGTCATAGAGCAAACTGCTGAAAACTGCTTCTTTAAGTGCGATATAGAGAGGGCAAAGGTTCATCCTGGATGGTTCCCGTAAGGAAACACAGCAAGAATGAGGTTTACTTGTAAAAAATGCAAGTCTAATATACTTCTGTACATGTATTGAAAACTTTACAGCTCATAGTATTAGCAATAAGCAAACGCAATGGATATGTATTTGGGAACATATCTTCACACGTCCTTTTTCATTTGCATTCATGAAAGAGAGAGGATATAATATTAAGGATGGGTACATACACAGTGAATGACACATGAAATGTTAAATATTTATATACAGATTGTCACGGAAAAGAGTGAGATAAAAGGATTGAAGGGAATGATTTTTGAAGACAGCTAATATGGCAAGATACTTAGGATTTATGCAAAGACACCAAAATATGAGGCCGGTGCTTCTTTATGTTATTCTACGTTATGGAACACACAGCTAAAAATGCAAGTGCAAGACTGTTTAGATGTTTTTATCATTATAATCTCTAAACAAATATTTTGATCAATTCCACTTCAAATCTGATAGATGCATAGGGAGTACAACGTATTTGCAAACTAAAGCATACCTTTCCTTCAAACAGTGATGCATCATACAGCCGCTCTGAACAAAGGTTGTATACTTTGTACTTTCCCTGTGAAAAGAATTATTATAATTAAGTTTTCAGTATCTATTTAATATTGTAGTAAGAAAATATCATCTATGCTAATTGTATACTTGCACAGAGCTACCATATGATGAAGGAACACTTAAAGAGCCGAACAGACAAGCATAACTATAATTTACTGTTTGCGCAAGAGACATAAACTGGATACCTTATGACGACTTTCAAAGAACTTCATAACCTCTTCCATATGATTTCTGTAAAATCCCTGCATGACATACATAGACTGTAAAGAAGAGGGACAAATATTTTTAGCTGAAGCAGCAAGATAGCTTTTTCTCATTACCTCAACATATCCAAAAAAACCTGAACTCATGTCACCTGCAGGGAAACCCATGGCAATAATATTCTCTGTGATATATGTCATGTCCAAATCGAACCCATCTTCCTATAGAAAAGCCCACATTAGCATTTCTGCTATAATTTAATCAGTGTACAGTTGTTTTGTTTTAATATCAGTTATATGGACTGTGAAGACTTGTATGACACTGAAAATGACCAAATCCAACATTTGGATCTTCACACCTGCCTTCGGCTGAAATTTGGCAACTGAAGCAGTGAATTTTGCATGTTCACAAAAAAAGAAACAGGGAAAGATAATTGTTAATCAATATATTAAAAGAATAAAGATGTTATGTAAAAAAGCTAAAAAGAATATAAATCAAACCATGTGTACACACACACACACACACACACATCCATTTCATGTAACAATCCCATTTGTTGCAGAAATGCACTTATAATCATAAAAATGACTGAACACATAATTTGGCTGTTAATCAAAATGATATTCAAACATATACACCATTTATAATGATGAGAAGCTCACAAAAAGATGGAATTTCATGTCACATTGCAAAGATGACCATGAGGTGAAAGAAATAAAACAGACTCCCATGTCGAAGGATAACATGGCATTCTTCATTTGGCGAATTAACATTATTTAAGTTGTGTATTGTGACAGTGAGGACTATACAAAAATGGACCAAGGAGAACCAACATCCAGCAAATATGAACAGAAAACACTAAAGTTCTTAACTGAAAAAAAAGGAGGACAATTCATAGCAGCAAGTTACCTGGTATCTCCTTTTGTTTTGAGATACAATGTGGCGAGCCTTGACAGACACTGCCTTTACTGCACTCCTAGATGAGTCCATAAACCCTTTCGTTAAAGATCCAAAAACACCTGGCTCTGTAGCTGTTGAAGTGCCCTCAGCACTTTCATCTTGTGGAGAGGATTTAGGAGACAGGCGGAGTCCAATTCCACTAGTTAAACGTGCAAAAGGTGATTTTCCTGCATTACCATCTTCTTGGCCTGATGGCTTTGGAATTTTGAGGCTTTTGGCCCATGAGGATATGCCTGAAGTAATGGATGGTGTATCTCGTACGCTAGTTTCTTGTCCAGTAGAAGTAGACTGCTGAATATTAGGAGATGTTGCAGATGGCAAAGATGAGGGTTCAACTTGCTCCGAAGCCATCACATATGGAACCAAATTTTCCTCCAAATAAATCAGAAAAATCCTTGGACATGCAAAACTGAAATAGGAAGTGTTTAAATGATATCCGTGCCCATTATGTTGCAATCAAGCATAAACTGATATAATTAGATAGAAAGTACTAAAGAATAACTATGATGGAGAAAAATGCATACAACTGGGATCACAATCAGCTGATAAGAAGGACACAAAGCATCGCAAATTGGCTGTTCTTATCAACTAAGAAACCTAGGTAGGTACTTTATCGCTCTCACACTTGTATCCAATTTTAAACAATAAGTGAACGATATCAGAACGAAAATGGGCTTGATGATGGTGAAACCATCAGTCCAACTCGTGGGTGCTAACCTACGACTAACGAGATTCCTGAAGTCCACCTTAAGATCTAGTACCTGGAAACCGAACCACGCTTATTTGTCCTAAGTAATCTTTAATACAAATTGAATATTGACCAAAATGGCAAAATTTTATAACATCTTTGAATGAAGCTTGTTTCTATTTCATATGAATGATGGTAATCAAGTGCTTGATTGACAAAAAAAAATATATTTTACACAGCATCGAACTAAATGCGCCCCAATTGTATTGCAAACATTAGCTATGCAATTCATAATTCAAATCCCCAATCCACAAATTTCCAGTTGCCAGAAGCTGAAGGTTATAAAACTAGGGTTTCAATATCCAATTGGGGATCACAAAGCTCAAAATCAATCATGAAATCAAGCTCGATCGAAAGCTAACCTCAAAGAGATGGGGTTTTTGATTGAAGCCCTTTTGATTTTGAATCCAGATTTTGATGCAGTTGCAGATCTGAAGAGGAGCGTGAGCGAGTGAGAATCTCACGTCCAAAAATTCCCCAACTCCTTATTAAAGTAGTTTTATTTACGTCATCTATGTATTGTTATTGTCTTGATCAGGCACTACACCTCTAGTGGGTCGGATCGGGTTTGGACATTTAACCCGATCCGGATGAATAGGGGGGGTGTTTGGTTTGTGAATTAATGTTGATCCACGCAATTGATTTTGAGAAACTCATAATTAAAATCGTGTTTTTTTATGATGGATATTAAATAGGATATGTATGAGTATGGTGGATAAAATTAAATCAAATTTTGTTTGGTTGTACACTAATTTCGTTGAGAATATGTAATTAAATTTATAAATTCAGTTGAAATCAGCATGATTTTAGATTATTAAGTTTGATGCGTTTATCTTAGGTGGCAATCCCAACTCTGTATGTAAAAAATAACAAACAACTAATGTATTTGCTAAAAATCGGTGTTTTTTAATTTGTTTGGTCCCTTTTTTTTAATCCAATGATGCAAAATACATGGAAACAAATAGCTCCTAATAGTGTTATTCATATTGATCCGAACAGGAATGAGCTCGTTTTGCCATGGAAGTGATTTTTCACAAGACTACCATGTCTCAAGCAAACAACAATTTACTCTACTTACCCTCAGTCATGGTAATTAGTGAAAAAAAAATGATAATTCCCTTTTAAAAAAAGGTATATTGGTATTTTTTTTGTGCAAACCCCTCGAAGCTTCGTGGTAGTTTTGTAAAATTATCATATTAGGGATGCAAGTTTATTTTAACGATCTTACTTGATGATCACCATCTAAAATGCCTAATTTTTTGTGGGGATATCAGCCTTCCATAAAGCCTTCCAAAATAGTTTTTCTTCAGCACGGTGTTGGACCGTCGAAGCCTTGGGATAGCTTTAAGGGGGGGTTTGGTTGCACAATTTTATAGAAAAGTTTTCTTAAAATATCTGACAATGATAATTCTGTATTAAAAATTTTATGTAGATTTTCGTAAACTGTGTTTGGTTCAAAAAAATTTACAGAAATATTTTTCGTAAAGTACAAAAAAGTACCAAAATTTACAAAAATCAATTTACTCTCAAAATGGGCGGAAATCACCTAGAAATCTGACACCACATTAACATTTTTCTATAGAGTTGATACTTTTCTATAAATTTAGTGGGTGTTTGGTTCAATTTCTACAAATTATAGGAAATCTTGCTATTTTCTATAAAGTTATGGGTCATTTTCTTGTTTTGAACCAAACAAGCAAAGTAAAAAAAAAGAAAATTAGTACTTTTTGACTTCTCAAAAATTTTTCTATAATTTTTTTTAAGAAATGTAAGGAAATCATATTTTTAGTGAAAAAAATTTCCTATAATTTGTAGAAATTGAACCAAACACCCTTTTACAGTATGCACTCCGTAGAGTAAACCATCCATCTTCTATTATTGCCCATCGAATCTTGTCCTCACAATTCCACCGAGTGATAGGAATCTTTAAAATAGCATTGGAAATTTTCTGTCACAATTTTTCTAATTAGATAAAAATTTCATGTCTATGAAGATTGTTGAAAATCAGCGTGAACTCTTGTAGATAGATATTGACTATATTAAATTAGTGTTATGCCCCACGCAATGGCACGGCTATTTTTTTAGTACATTTTTTAGCGAAATAATAAATGAATTCATGTTTTTGATAGCTTATATTAGAGTTTTGCTATAGGGACTCAAATATGGGACCAACAGGGAGAATATGTAAGGTGTCCCTCTCCTATTGCATAATGAGCTGGTCATCATTAATAATGGCCAGTTCATTATGCAATAAGAGGGGGACACCTCATATGTCATCTCTGCTGGTCCCATATTTTGGGTCCTTAGAGAATTTTTCCTTATACTAGGTGATATGCACGTGCAATGCACGTGGTTTTTTTTTAATAAAATTTTAAAATTAATTTAGGAAAAGATTTGTTATTAAATTATTGAATGTAAGCAATTTATCAAACACAAAGACATAAACTAAAAATTCTACATTTGAACAATAAATTTTCATTTAGTGCTTGATTGGGTGATAGTACATTTGTTGCACTATAATTATCTCGTCTTTCTTTCTGTTAGCAGCAGCCATAGTGCTTGCGTTCATCTAGTTTGCATCATTATCAACAAATGTAAGTCTTGTTAACCCGTTGTCTTGCTTATGAAGATTGTAACTGTTCTTTTTGTTGAATGACTTGTCTAGCGAAACAAGCACTTTAAGCACCGATTGAATTGTCGAGTTGTCTAAACCATTCTGCATTTTATCATTAGGTAGCGAAGTTTGGTTGATTTTGAAAATTAAATTATTTTCATACAGATCGCATAAATGTATAAAATTAGACAATCATTAAAAAATTAACAACCAAAATAATAAAAAAATAAAAATAATAAAATAATCCTCATCAATCATTTCAACTATCCTTTTGGTACATCATGATAAAGAGAGAGAGAAAACAAAAATAATAAAATAACCCTCATCATATTTTAATAAAAAAAGAAAGAGAGAGAGAGAGGATTCATAACCTTAACAATTGACCCGTAACATTAACAATTAACTCGTAACCTTAACAATTAACCCGTAACTTTAACAACCTCTCAATACAAACAACGATAATAATAAAAAACAAAAATAATAAAATAATCCTCATCAATCATTTCAGCTATACTGTTGGTACATCATGATAAAGAGAGAGAGAAAATAAAAATAATAAAATAATCATCATCATATTTTAATTAAAAAAGAAAGAGAGAGAGAAGGGTATTATAGTCTTCACATGTTTTAATATCTTGTGTTTTGTGTTTTGGGGCTCAGAGAACAGATTCTTTATTTTTAGGGGTAAAACACCCATTGACCAAGTCCTGGTGGTGGGAAGCACGTTCACTTGGCTTTTGGGGGCTGGAAGCATTTTTTCCTTAAAAAATATATATTAGACTACAACTTATTCTAAAAATAAAAAAGAAAAAGAAGAAGAAACTCAAAGGCGTAGCATCCAACGTTACTAACAAATTCAGAATGAAATACATAATTGTAAATAGTATTCCCCTTTGGCCTTAAATATTCATTGACCTGGAATGTTGCTACTGGACCACTGTTCATGCTTATATCTCATAGTTGAAAACAGTTACAAGCATATTTAAAAAAAAGAAACTAAAAAATGGAAACAATTGATTATCTTTTCGGGATCTTTCACTCAGATCTTTCACCCAGAGGCCCGAATGAATGTGGTTATCTAAGAAGCTCAATCTTTGTTCACTATACAAACCATGTAAAGGAGTAACTGTTGTATTCATATCCTTAGTCTAGCCTTTACATTCTACATTAGGCGTTTTATAAAGGAGTAACTGTTGAATGAAATTTGAAGTAAGCCTGCATACTACTTTCAGAGAGAACAGTTACACAACTTCAAAGACCACAAGAAAGCTCACTCAAATGTAAAACTGTAGCATTACAATAAGTCTTGAATGTAACTACATAACCAATCGTGAATTTGCTCTATATTGGATAACCCTTTGGCTAAGAACAATCAGAGGAATAGTGGATACAATCCCGAAAAGACAATCTCGAGTAACCATTGGTTGCAAAGAGGTGAGGAGGGTACAAGAAAACACCTCTCATCCAAAACCTCTAACATGAAAGAAATAAACAACAGTAATCACCATAGTATAATGTTTTCGAATCCATCAATCGAAGCTTGATGTTTGACTACATCTCCCTTTAAGGTAACCCTCAAGAGATGTATTTGCTGTTACAAAATCACTGTTGACCGATAGCGAGTCATCTTCTACATCGAGGAGGGCAAGATTGATATGAGACTGGATGTTGGAATTTTGATTTGTTGCTGTTTCATCCAATGCAATAGTCTTCTGTAGAATTATTCACTTGTGCCCTTGCCCACTTAAGGACATTGGCATCTCCTCGTAGTAGCTTGACAACCTGGAATTAGGCAATCAAGATATATAATGTTAGTCATCTACAGTTTACTTCATCATAGTAGTAACAATAAAATGGGTGAATTATTTCAGTCTCACTTGTTGAACCCTTTGAAGCGTGCGTATTGCTAGATATGATAACAAGGATTACCTTGTAGTCATATTTATAAAAGAACATGCATTGAACCATGAAGTTGAATACACTAATTCCGGGTGTCATTAGGCAAAATTGCACAATGATTGTAACATGGATATCAAAAGCTCATTGCTGATTATCCTCAAAAAATAAACAATTGAAAACTTGAAGATAAACGACTAAAAAAAACTGAAACCTTAAGAGTCATGTAATCACGACTGAGAATGTGTCTTCCATCCTTTCCAAATTTAATATCTGAAATTGACGCAATGATCTCAGTGGAAAAAAGATCTCGAACCTGGTGCTTCATGCTCCTCAAACATGGAAGTACATGCAATTAGCCATGACAGTAGCAAAGAAGCAAACAACTCAAAATAAGAATTCAGTAAGTTTTTATTGAAACAAGAAGTCCACCCAATTACATGTCACTGTATAAAAGTTCAAAGAAAAAACAATAGATCACTTACAACATTGAGTGGTTATCACACAGTGCTGATTGTTGAAAATCAATAAGTCGTATAGAGCCCTTGGAGCTACTATATGCTAATGTGTTACAGTGCGTAGTATGGAATTATCCGGATGTTATGACCTTTTGTAAACAAACTAAAAGTCTTAAAATGACGGTTTACAATTTTCAGCATGCCAAAGACCTCTGCCATTTACAGCCGTATTAAACATGAGAACTCCAAAAAGTTGGGTTTACCTATGTCTAAGCACTTGGAATAGTAAAAATTGTAATTGAGAAACAAATTTCCATTCATGTTTCAAAAACATCTGACTTGCACTTAGAATATCTGAGGTCAGATCCCAGGACAATGCTGAACATAATCCACAAATGAGAGGCATATATGAATCTATGACCGTTAAATAGTCCCTTACAATTATGGAGTCAAATAGAAGTGCAAGGCATGTTGGTTATGAGTTATGTTTATGTAAATGTTTGTGCATATAAGCAAGCATGCAAAACAAA